CACAGTGGTGCATGCTTCCCTCGTGTTTGTATAGTTGTATGAGTCGTCGGCGGGCTCCCTCTTGGCCCAGACCCAGTACTCCAACACGCCGACCCTGCTTGACCGCCATTTTTCTTTTCGGGGGGGGGGGAGAGAGAGAGAGAGGAAGGGAGACGGGTACAGCTGACTGCAGACGGCCGGGGAGATGGAGCGGGACGACGAGGTACCCGAGGGTGTGGAGAAGCTATTCCTCCGGCTTGAGCACCAGCGGCACTTTCATACTATTATTGGTGAGGACGTGACAGTCCAGGACCCGTTTGTCCTCCTGCCCAAGGCCGCCCTGGAGGACCAGCTCGACTCTATTGTCTTTGCCTTTGACCCGCTGCTGAAAAAGGTGGCAAACTACGACGGCGAGGAAATGCTCCTGGTCTACGACGACAACGACGACGGGGATGGCCACAACTTCCTCCTCTGTGTCACCGAGGAGGCCAAGGAGAACATGCTCGGTCGTGCTGGGCCTGGCCCTGGCGGCTCGGCCAGCCGGGCTGACCGGGCCGCCGGTGAGGCAGCCGACCCGGGCGCGGCAGGCGGGCAGGGCGGCGGGCCCGGACCTGACCGTCGCACCGCCTCGGTCTTTATCTCGGCGGCGCCCGGTGAGGTCGAGGCCGAGATTGCCGCCGGCTCGGCCAAGCCAACCCGCCCGCTGCTCAAGCTGGCCATCTCGCGCCCGCGCAAGTTCTTTGGCGCGCCGTACAAGCTCGGCGATCGCGAGGCCCACGATGGGATGGAGGAGTGCCGCCCGTACAAGGACCCCAACTTTTCAGTCGTCCGCCTCGAGGCCGACGTCGGTTTCCAGGCCGTCCGGCGGACCGCCGAGTCCGGCTTGCAAACCGGTTGGAGCAAGCCGGAGAACGCCGCGACGCAGTGGGAGGCGCAGACCATGGAGTCGGCCGCCGCCGCCAAGCACCTCGACGACGACGCCCTGGCGGCGGCGCTGGGCGAGAAGGCCGCGCTCTTTGAGTTTGCCCTCCAGCAAAACAACGCCGTCAACGTCTACGCCGACAACTTTGCCGCCCTCGTCGACGAAGACGCCGTTCTCGGCCGCGAGTCCGAGTCGCTCCTTGTGGAGACCCACTCGTGCTCGGACGCGCAACTCATCGGCGACGCGCTCCTGACGTCGGCAGACTGGCAGCCCGGCCGCCGCGATGTCCTCGCCGTCGCCGTTGCCGCCAAGGCCTCGTTTGACGAGCGCGCCGCAGAGTCGAACGTCAACAAGCCGCCGTCGCTGGTCGCGGTCTGGAACCTCTCGGTCACCATCCACTCGCACCCGGTCCTCTTGCTGCAGGCCCCAGCCGACGTCCGTGTCGTCCGGTTCTGCCCCTCGCAGCCGCACATTCTTGCCGGCGGCCTCGTCACCGGCCAGGTTGTCATCTGGGATATTGCCGAGGCGCAGGCCGCCGTCGAGTCGTCGCACCTCAGCGGGAGCGGAAGCGCCGGGCCGGCACTCGGCGCCTCGGCCGCCACCGCCGTCCTCCCGGACGTCCTGCAGGCAAAGGCCACGCCCGCGGCGTCGCGGCCTGGCACCCAGGGAGGGAGCGGGAGCGCCGGTACTGCCGGTGCCTCAGCCGCTGCTGACATCCCGGTTGTCTCGTTCTGCCTCCTCTCGACCATCGAGAGCTCGCACAAGCGGCCAGTGACGGACATTGTGTGGATGCCGCCGCAGTTTGAGGTCAACTCGTCGGGAACAGTCAACGAGGACGAGACGGTGCTCTCGCACCAGTTTGTGTCGTCGTCGTACGACGGCGCAGTGGTGTTCTGGGACATCCACTCGCGGAAGGATCTGGTGTCGGAGCGGGCGTGGCGGCCGCTGCACCGCATCCGGCTGCACAAGGTGTCGCGGATGGGCGACCACGGCCCCATCAAGGTGGCGGTCGACCCGTTGCGCGCCCAGCTGACGGCCATCACTGAAGATGGCGAGCTGGTCTTTGCAGACTGGCGCATCAACCGGTCCGAGCAGAAGCGGCAGGTCGTCCGCGCCAACTTTTACGGCGCGCCCGGCTTTGGCGCCGCCATTGCTCCGCACCCGGTCCTGCCGTCCATCATTCTCACGGCCTCGGACTGGTGCACCCAGATCTGGACCGAGGCCGAGTCCAAGCCGCTCATCACATCCCCGGCGACACCAGCTGTCATTACTGATGCCGTCTGGTCGCCGTCGCGGGCTGGCGTCTTTTACATCGCCCGCGCAGACGGGTGCATCGAGGTCTGGGACTTGCTCGAAAAGTCGCACGGCCCGTCGCGCATCGAAAACATCACCAGCTCAACCGCCATCACCTCGGTCGCCATCCTCACCGTCCCGCACAAGAAGCGCAAGCGGAAGGCGGTCAAGCAGCTTCTCGCCATCACCGATGACTCGGGCTTTGTCCGCGTCGTCGCCATCCCCCGCTCGCTGGTCAAGGGCCCAGCCCAGGAGGCCGAGTTTGTGGGCAAGCTCTTTGAGCGCGAGCGTGAGCGCCTTGTCTACTTTGCGGACGTCATGATCCCGCACCGCGACGAGCTCGCCCTAGCTGAGCGCGCCTCGGCCGACGCACGCGCAAAGGCTGCCGCCATGGCCGCCATGGATGCCGACGAAGACGCCAAGGAAAAGGTCGCAGAGCTGCAGTACCAAAAGTTCCAGGCCAACTTTGAGCGCGAGCTCGAGATGATGGCTGGCGGCGCGCCGTAGTAGTAAAACGCGAACAACTGCTAGCCGGCTGTACGGCTACCTACCGATCCCGGAACGACGGCATCGACCACTGCGCAGCCTTGACGGGATCCTCTGCGAACCAGTCGGCGCTCACCACGTCGCTCGCGGTCAGCCGCGCCGCAGGGTCGTAGGTGAGCATGCTGCTGATCAGCCGGCGGCCAGCGAGCGAGGTTCCGTCGGGCAGCCGATCGTCGAGGTACGAGTCGCGCTGCGCCGGGAGCACATACTTGCTCCCGCCGGGCAGGAGCGAAAAGCCCGGCCAAACCGCATCCGACGGCGCGCCCAGCAGCAGGCACATCTTCTGGACGTACGCGGTCTCCGAGTCTGCGCGGAGCAGCGGCTCACCGGTGAGGAGCTCGACAGTGACAGCGCCAGCCGACCACACGTCAACAGCCGTGTTGTACGCCGCCTCGCCAAAGATCAGCTCGGGCGCGCGGTACCAGAGCGTGACCACCGTCGGAGTGAGCACCGCTGGCGGCGGATCGCCAAACGGCCGGACGAGGCCAAAGTCGGCAATGACCAGCCGCCCGTCAGCCGAGTACAGCAGGTTGGCTGGCTTGATGTCGCGATGGATGAGCCACGAGGCGTGAAGAAAGGCAAGGCCCGAGAAGAGTTGCCAGACAAGCAGCTTGGCCTGTGCACTGGTGAACGCGCCGGCGCCGTGGGCGTCGAGGATGACCTTGAGATCCAGCGGATGATGCTCGAGGACCATGTACACCTCGTCCATGGTCTCGCCGACCACCACCTCGAGCAGGCGGACCACATGCGGCGATTCAAGCGAGCGAAGGGCAGCAAGTTCCCGCAGAGCAGTGACGGGAAAGCCTTCCTCCACATTCCCCAGCTTGAGCTTCTTCAAGGCCACAGGTGCCGCGTCGGCCTTGTCCTTGCGGACAGCCTTGAAGACCAAGCCATACTGACCCTCAGCAATGGTTGAGACCTTCCGATACAGATCCTTCAGCAGTCGAGCCCTCTTTGACTTGCGCAGTGTGGGCGGTGGTGTCGATGCCTCCCGTTTACGAGTGTCAGCCATGGTGATGGGTGCGAGCGAGGGAGGGGGGGGAGGGGGAGGGGGGTGTCAAGGGACATTATTGGCATTGGCAGAGGCAGAGGCATCGGAGACATAGGCCATTTGGCCATTGGCCATTGGGGCATATCGTCAGTGAGGGAGTTAGTTGGGGAGGGGGGACGGGGGAGGGGGGGGGGGGGAGAGAGGGGACCACAGGCAAGGGGAGGGGGAGGGGGGATACACGACACACTTGACTTGTACTTGTCTACAGTGTGTGTGGAGATGGGCAAGCGGAGAGTGGATGATGCAGAGGACGTGATCGATGAGCGTGTGGCTAAGCGAGGGAAGCCGCTGGGTGAGGGGGAGGATGGTAGGATGATGGGGGGGGAGGAGGCGGTGACGGGCAAGGACAAGTCCAAGGACAAGTCCAAGGACAAGTCCAAGGCCAAGTCCAAGGGCAAGGATAAGGCCAAGTCCAAGGACAAGGCCAAGGCCAAGTCCAAGGACAAGGATAAGAGCAAGGACAAGAGCAAGACAATGACCTCGTCCATGGACGAGGGTGTGACAGAGGCGACAGAGGCCGTGGACATGGTGGTCGAGCCCGCCGAGAGCGACAAGGCCGTCATCAACAAGCTGACTGGAAATCCGATGCCTCGGGACAAGGCCAAGAGCAAGAAGAAGGAAAAGGACGGTGGGGCCACTGCTGGCCGCAAGAAGCCGCGGTGGAAGAACTCGGATCAGACCACCGTCTTTGTGGCCAATCTGTCGTTTAATGCCATCGAACCCAAGGTCCGCAAGCTGTTCGAGGACATCGGTAAGGTCGCCGACGTGCGCTTTGTCAAGGAGAAGGAGACCGGCGCGTTCCGCGGCCTCGCCTTTGTCGAGTTTTTCACCGCAGACGCCGCCCGCATCGCCGTCGGCCGCTCCGGTGAGCTGAAATACGCCGGCAAGCAACTGCGCATCGAGCACAGCCAGACCCGGCTTCAGATCCCGCGGGCACAGCTTGAAGCAGCGTACGACGCCGCCACCGGCGAGCTCGACACCACCGCTCTCCCGCGCTTCCTGCGCCGCGCCATCAAGCGCGGCGAGATGACCACCGACGAGCTACTCATCCGACTCGGCCTCCGCGAGCCCGAGCCCGAGCCCGAGCCCGAGCCCGAGCCGGCGTCCGACAATGGCGACAAGCGCAGAAGCAAGGCCAAGGGCGGCGACAACGACGATGACGCCACCAGCGACAACGACAATGCCGAGGCTGAGCCCGCCGAGCCGGCTCCGCCGCCGGCCGATCTCTACGCCGTCCACGTCCACAACCTCTCGTACGACACCACCCAGGCGGATCTAGCCAAGCTCTTCGCCAAGTACGGCACCGTGGTCTCGGTCACTGTCCACACGGGGGTCAACGGCGCGCCCACTGGCCGCGCCACCGTGCTCTACTTCTCCGGCTCGGGCGTCCGTGCCTCGGTCGTCAACGCGGCCGGCCTTGTGGTCAACGAGCGCCACATCCACGTCGCCCCGGCCCATGAGCAGGTCATGAAGGGCACAACGTACGGCAAGGCCCTGCGTACCAAGCAGCGCGCCGCCGAGCTCGCCGCCGAGCTCGCCGCCAAGACCAGGCGCTCCAAGGGAGCAAGCAGCCGTGGCCGCCGTGGCCGCGGTCGCGGCGGCCGTGGTCGCGGTCGCGGCGGCCGCGGCCGTGGCCGTGGCCGTGGCCGTGCCTCTGCAGGTCCGTCGCGCGGCTCGCCGGCCATCCGCGGCGGCAAGTTCTTTGCCTCGTGGACCGCCACCGCTGACTCGTGAACAGCCCAGTCCCCCTGATCATGTGATGAATCCCATGCCATCACTTGCCGTCCCAACATCAATGTGCTTGTCCGCAGTGCCAATGAAACTCGCGCATCAACCCGACGACCCAGCAATGACACTGATTCGGTCAGTCCCGCCCTTGGCTTTCCCCTTGCCCTTGCCCTTGCCCTTGCCCTTGCCCTTGCCCTTGCCCTTGCCCTTGCCCTTGCCCTTGCTGTGCGCCGCCGCCCGCCTCAGCCGCGCGATGCGGACGCTTTCATCGTCGACTCGAGGCACGACGCGCGAGGTACGGATCATTCTCCCCGAGCCCGGATCGACGCGGATGGCAGCCAGCTCCCGGAGCGAGCGGAGTGACTCACGCGACGGCGGCGGCGAGGAGCGGCCCAGCTCGCGACCATCGTCGTCCACCGATGACGGCTCCAGCACCAGCACCACAAAGCCAACCACCACCGCCACCAGCAAGATCAGCACCTTGCACCCCGCAACCACAAGCTCGCCGACCTCCATGACCGTCCGCTCTCCACACACAGCGACAAGTGCCCACTCCTCGCGGCAACGACTGCGGTGCCAAGCTCCGGTACAGCAAGCCGAGCACCGAGCACCTCACTCGAGCAAAGACGGCACCAACAGGGAGACATGGCAGCCATCGTGGCGGGCGCCGACTCGCGGAATCAAGAAAGGGAGCGTGTGCCCGTTTTGCTCTGGCCAGAGTGGAGCAGTAGCCTGGGGGAAGCCATCGAGGTCGAGCTTGGCCGTCCTGCTGGCGGCAGCGGCGGCGGCGAGTCGACTGCCACTGCTGCTGGCTTCATGAACTCGATCCTGGCTCCGGCCCTTAAGGCTACCGATCCACTGTTTTCGGTGGACAACGTCCGCCTGGCCCATGCCCCAGCAGTGGCACGGGCTCGCGAGACATGGGATGTGACGCGCATGACTCTTCTGCGTCCAGAAGACAGCTGGGTCGTGCCGGGCGACGGCGCGAATGGCAACATCGCGCTTGTCCTCGTCCCCTCCCCGCAGCTCTACCTCGACTCGGCCGGCGGCATCGCCTTTCCAGATCCGATCCAGCGCCCACGATTGGCCGAGCTTCTCGCTTGGGCCCAGAACCTGACCATCAAGGACGTTGTCGATGACCCACGGCTGAGTCTGCCTGCGCTCGGCGCCGATCTGCCGTCGGCGTCGCGGCTGGCGAGCGAGTTTGGCGTGGGGACCGACAATGGCGGTAGCTTTGAGAGCATCGACGCGCTGCAGACTGCTGTTGAGGCTCAGCTCTCCCGTCCGCGCCGCCGGCTGTTCAACGAGCTTGCTTTTGGCGCGTACGGTCTCGCGCCGTGGCTCGAACTCCTCGGCGTCGCGCCAGGCGACGACGACGACGCCGCCGTGGACACCGCCGCAGATACCAGCGATGCCAAGCCTGGTCCGTCCAGCGATGCAGCGTCGGGCTTCGCCAAGTTCAAGGCTGTGACTGCCGCGGTGTGGACGCTTGTGTACCACCCGTCTAAGAGCTCGGTCTACGCCGGCGGCGGCCCGTTTGAGCTCTCGCTCCGGCTCGGCGGTCAGTATCCGCTCTCGTTGCCGTCGCTCCACGTCGAGACGCCGCACATGGTGCACTTGCATGTGGTCGACTCACTCTCGGCGGTCCACCCCAACGCTCCGGCGCGGCGCGGGCGAATTGATCTCGAGCGGCTGCGCCCGGCGCAGTGGAGCCCGACCGCGTCGCTCATCGAGGTCTTTACCACTGTGGTTGAGCTGTTTGAGGGCGAGCACACCGGACCCGACGAGTTGCTTGCGCGCACTCCGTTTGCCATCTCGCACGATGCTCGCCTCGGCGAGCTCTATCGCACCGACAGGGCCGGCTATCATCAGGCAGCCGCAGCCTCGGGCGCGGTCGCGGATCCGGCACTCGGTGGCGCGCGCAGCCCCGGATCCCTTGTTGACCCGCCAGCCTGCGCCGCAGTCGCCACAGCCTGCAAGCTCGCCGGCAACGCGGCTTTGGGCCGGGGCGAGCTGGCGACTTCCCGTGCGCTCTACGCCCGCGGCCGCGCATGGTGCCGGCAAAACCGCAGCGAGCCTGAGCTGGCCGAACTCTACCTCGCACTCGAGCTCAACGACTCGCTGGCGGCGATCCGCGACGGCGACGCACGGGCGGCGCTGGCTTCCGCCAACGCCGCTCTCGCCGCGGCACCCTTATCGACCAAGGCTCTCTACCGTCGCGCCAAGGCGCACGCTGCGCTGGGCGACGACGAGCTGGCCATTGCAGACCTGGAGCGCGCAGTGGCGCTCGCGCCGAACGACGCTGCTCTGGCCCGCGAGTTGGCCAGAGCTCGCAAAGCCAAGGCCCGCGCCAAGGCCGAGCAGGCTGCGCTCTACCGACGAGCGCTGGGCGGAAGCTGACCCACTCCATAGCCCTGTGTGGACTCGCGTGAAGTCACTGGTGGGTAAAGAGAACCGCCGGAATGTAGGCGACCGAGACCTTGGGATCGGCAAGCAGGCGGGCAAAGAGCCGCGAGTCGGCGTCAAACATGCCCTTGGGCTCGGTGATGAGGTCAGCGACGACAAAGTTGGGCTCGTCCGGATTGAGCAGGCGAGTGGAGATGACAGCGGCACCAAGATCGATGGCGCCGTCCGTCCGCAGCTTGTGGCCGACGTGATGGGTGGTAAAGTCGACATGGACAAAGTCGATGCCACTGTTGAGATGCGGGAGAATGGCCGGCACAAAGTCGGCCGAGTAGAGGTTGTCGCCGTTGGTGATGAGCACATAGTCGCACGCCGCACGCCCCGGTAACATCGGCGAGCGCAGGTTCAGTACCCGCGCCAGCTCGGCCTCGGTCCGCAGGTAGCCGACCGGCGAGCCGTACCCGCGCCGTGACGCTCCGAGGCAGGCAAAGCCCGAGGCCTCGAACGAGACATCGTTGTTAGCTGGTGCCACCACAACCCTGCAGTCGTCGACCTCGGCCGCAAGCTCATCCAGATACTGCGGATTCTCTAGCGGGCCGGGAACAGTGGCCTCGGCGAGAAATATGGTCATGTTGGCGTAGCGCGAGGCAAAGAGCGAGTGCAGCAGCGCTGGGATCTGTCCACGCTTCGGCTCGTACGTGCGGACGACGACGCAGAGCTCCGGGCCTGTGGTGAGGCTGGTGCGGTCGAGGGTCTGGCGGCCATCCGGTGCGTGCATAACACACTCGGCCTTGCGGCGTGTCCCGCCGAGGCGCGCCAGCTTGCGGGCCGTCTCCAGACCGAGTCCGGCGTACAAGATGTCTGCGGCGATGCGCCCGTTCGGCGTCTCGGCCATGCCGCGCGCGCGGTACTCGGCGAGCTCATCGGAAACCTGCACAAACTTGGCCTGGTACTTGCGGCTGCACCCATTGTCGGCGCCGGGAGCCTTTCGCTCCGGTCCACGGCCATAGATGGCGCCAAGAGAAGCCCTCCGCCCAGCCGCCACCGCCGAAGACGCCGCCACCGCCGAGGTGTAGCCCACTCCTTGAGCCGAGCCCCACTCTCCCACCACCCACCACCCGCCCACAAGCAGCAAAGCTGCCATAACCACAATCGCCTGTCGCCGTTGCTGTGCCACCATCCCCGCGCGCGGCAGCAAGGTCGACTCGCGTGTGCCGAGTTGCGTGAGGTGGCGACTCCGTGTTGGATCGAGCAGTCGGTCGGCCGGCGTGCGGCAGACGGGGACATTCGCGAAAGGGTGACGGGGGAGACCGGAGCAGACCAAGGGCGCCACACTGCACTGCGCAAGAAGAACAACAGAAACACACATACATCATGCGGGGACTTGTTGAGCCGTACTACTCGGACAAGTACAACGACGACATTTACGAGTACCGGTACGTGCTCTTCAAGCGTGTCCATACCGATGAACGGCACCATGCCCAGCCCCTGCTTGCCCTCCACCTTGAGCAGGTGGCCTCAGCCGGCTTGGCGCCCACTTGCCAAATTTTGAACTTTTTTCGCCCACCTGGAAACTCACCCGCTCGCTCCTTGCTGGTTCCCCCCTCTCTGACCACAGTCACGTCATCCTTCCGCAGGACTGGGTCTCACGCGTTCCGAAGGACCGCCTCATGTCCGAGTCTGAGTGGCGCAAGATTGGCGTCCAGCAGTCGCGAGGTACGTCATGCCCCTGCCCCTGCCGTGTCGTGTCGCCTTCCCAAAACGCCAAAGTTTGTGATCGCAAACTTGGTGCCATAATTACCACACGGCGCCATTCTCGGAGTGGCGACACGGCATGGCGACCTGGGAGCCCTACCCCCTCCCCCTCTACCCCCTTCCCTCCTCACGCACACATTACTTACTCACATGACTACGACAATGGGGGACTGGTATGCCTGTACTGGTGACGACGATAGGATGGGTTCACTACGAGATTCACAACCCCGAGCCGGTACGCGCACTTTCTTTCGCGCACTTTCCCCCCTCCTCCCCCCGCCCTCCCCCCCCTCCCCGTCCCTCTCTCCCCTTCCACTCCCTCGCCCCTCCCTCCCCGCGCATACTCACCCGATCTTCCATCTTCGACCCAACAGCACATCCTGCTCTTCCGTCGCGCTCTCGCCTGAGCATGTCCTTGTAAACTCGAACTCTCCCCTGGCACCACCACCATGTGGGCAAGCTCGCTTGGCAGGTTGACTATGGTAGACGATTCTCGCGAGCATGTCATTGCGCTATGTGGTTGGTTGGGTAGCCTCTGGCTCTGCGATTAGATTGTGGGTGCACGGGGTGCGATGCCGCGTGGGCGAACGGGGCGGGCAGAAGTGCCTGTGGAGGGCTTGGAGGGCATGGGCGGCGGGCCGGCGGCTGGCGGCGGCGGGGCGACAACGAGGCGA